CCCTCTCTCTCTCCCTCTCTCCCTCTCTCTCTCCCTCTCTCTCTCCTCATGCTGTTGTCCTAAGGAAGGAAGAAACTGCCCTAAAAACACCCCTTCTACTCGAAGGCTGTGTGCACAGAAATCCAAGTTGAATCTCAGCTACTTCCCACATGCAACTTACTTCTCGTTTTTGTAATGCGTTAGTCGGATTCCATACGGTTATTCCAACGCACACTACAGCCCCACCACACATGTGACATCCTCGTTGTCACCAGCACAGATACAGCCCATGTGCTCACGGTCAGAAGGGTGACAGCGATTGGCACGAAGGTGCCCGCATAGTTGGGAATTGGACACAAGTTCCTTGTGTGTGAGGAGTCTGTTCACTCGCCGGCTCGTGATCTCCCATGTGCTCACCCAGCTCCTGTTGTGTGCCAGGCCCTGTGTGGGGCAGTGGGGACCACGTGCGTGCAGAGCCTGTGTTCCACGTGCTGAGCCGAGTAGGGAGCGATGGGGGTGGATGTGCCATCTGAGAGGGCGGGGTCCACACAGGAGGTGACATCAGAGCAGAGATGCCAGGGAACTGAGGGAGCAGGCCAGGCTGGGAGTGACGAAGTCCAGGCCAGAGAAACAGCAGCCAGCGTGGCTGGGACAGAAAGACGAGCCAGTGGAAAGTGAGACCCAAGAGTTATCCAGGGGTGGGGGCTTTGCCAGGCTTCTGCACCACGGCATTCACCTCGGGAGGGTGAAGCTTCCTGTATCAGTCAGCTGCCCCATGCTGAGTGGAGCCCAGACACCCAGAAATGAAAGGAAGAGAGGTTTATTTCGGGTCACAGTTCCAAAGGGTTCAGTCCGTGGTGGGCTGGCTCCAGGGCAGAAGCAGCACGGTGGAAAGGTGTAGCACAAGAAAGCTGCTCAGGTCATGGCATCCAGGGGGCAGAGAGGGATGGGAGGAGCTGGGAACGAGAATGCCCCCTTCCAGGTCACACCCCAGTGACCACCTCCAACCCAGGCCCACCTCCTGCAGCACACTCAGCGCCCCCATGATCCAGGCACCCTCCAAATACCTGAGACTTTGGGGGATATTTTAGATCTAACACACAGTGCTTCCTTCCTCAAGTGCCCGCCAGGGCTGCTGCTGCCCATGACACCAGGGGACCCCATCTGGAGGAGAACCCACATCCAGTCTCAGGAGCCATTTCAACCTCCACTCCCGGTCAGCTCTTCAGAGACTCGGTTCAGTCTGCCTCCTAATTTACCAGCGCCCACCCCAGCACACGGCAGAGGCCGCTGCCAGCTAGGGGAGGGGATGGTCACTGTCCCCAGCACTCCTTCCCCAGCGGCTGTGTCACAGCCTGCAGGTGGCTGCCAGCCTCACAGCTAGGGCCTCCCTTCTGAGCCAGCTCCGTGTGGCTCTCTGTGCCCCTGTCGGCCCCACACCCTGAGTAGAGTTTCTCTCCCTGGTCTTTCACAGACAGGGCAGCTGAGGCCAGGGAGCAAGGAGGTCATCCCAGGGCCCACAGCAAGCCCCAAGGCCAGTTCCTCTGTCCCCAGTACCACTTTGTCTCTGCGCCCTGCCTGCCACTCAGTCCAGCAGGTGGAAGGTCGAGACCGCATAACTTCCCATGCATTTCCGACAGCGTCTCAGCAACTGCTACCGGTCCCTGAGGCCCCAGTGCTGTGAGGCCCCCCTGGGCCACAGAGTCAGGGAAGGGCCAGGGCCCACGGTCATGACTTTCCCACCTCCAGCACCTTGCCTGGCTACAGTCGGACATAGCAAGTTGTCTTCTCAGTTGACTGAGAACCTTAAGTGGCTTTTTCCAGACTGATGCACACCCGGCAGAGCGAAGGGTCAGTTGGGCATTCATCATTGAGGAAAAACTTAACTTCACGTCACCTCTCTGTCAGCACTGATCACCCCACCACCCTTGTAAATGAAGTGAGGAAACCAGAGCCTTCCACACTCCACGGCTAGGCTCTCCACGTTCGTGAAGCAGACCATTGCCTTCCAAGAGATCAGGGCACGGGAAGCATAGATCCCGGGAGCCAGCTGCCGGCTCCTTTCCTGCCGAGGCTGGGGTTAGCAGTGCTGACCTGCCACTTTTACACAGTGCTTACTGGGCACTCAACCCTGCCGAGGCTCGAAGGCAAAGCCTCCATCCGTCCTCTCACAGAGGAGGGATGAGCGGCAGCTCGAGCCCCTCACTGGCTGCACAACGGGTCAGTGCTGGCCTGGGTGCAGGCTGGCAGATGAGTCTAGGGGGCTGGGACCTCATGGGCTCCGAGGGGCTCAGGGCAGCAAGGTGGGTTGGGGGACGAGGAGCATGCACTTCCTGTGGCTGCTGTAACAACACAAACATGGTTCTGTGGTTGGATGCGGTGTGTCCCCTCCGAAACTCATGTTGGAAGCCAGGGCCCAATGAAGCAATGATGACAGGTTGTGCAGCTCTTCCCAGATGTTTGGGTCAGGGATTGGAGCCATTCTTGCAGGAGGTGGTAGTTCTCACGGGAGAGAGTTGCTTCTCTCGAGAGTGATGGTTGTGGCAGTGAGCCCAGCTTCCTTAGCTCTCTCTGGGTTCCTCTCTCGCCACCCTCTCAGCCTTTCCACCATTAGGTCACTGCACCAGGCCCTCACCAGCAGCCAAGAGGGTGCAGACACCATGCACTCGGAAGCAGCACCACTCCCTGCACAGGCTCCAGAGGAGAATTTGTGTCCTTGTCGCTTGAGCTTCCAGAGCTACACTCCTTGTCTCACTTGGCTGTGCCTCTCTACTCCCTCCTCAGTGCTGCAGAGCATCTTGCCTCAGTGGTCCTGTTGCCTTCTCCTTCTGGGTCCGATCTCCCCTTCTCCCCCCTTTTCAGGACATACGTAGTACCTGTAGGGTCCACCCGATCATCCAGGCTGATCCTCCCATAGCAGTAACTTAGTCACATTTGCAAAATCTCTCTGGACAAACAAGGCAACTACCTCAGTCACCTTCTCATCCCTGGGACACAATACCTGACACCCACAACTTAAGGGAGGAGAGACTTATCTTGGCCATGTTTCACAAGTTTAAGTCCATGTTTGGCATGGCAGAAGGGCCTGGCGGAGCAGAGCTGCTCACATCATGGTGGGCAGGTAGCAGAGAGAGGAGGAAGGAGCCAGGAAGGGAGATGAACCCTTCCAGGCCACACCCCCAGTGACTGCCTCCAACGAGGCCCCACCTCCTAACAGGAAGTCAGCTACAGTGCCGCCATGATTCAAGCTCCTTCCAAAAACCCTGCCTCTGATTACACAAGGCCTTTGGGGGACATTCTCAATCTAAACCATAACAGCAACTTTCACAAAATATCAGGGGTGGGTGTCTTTGGGGACCATTTTACAGCTGCCTACAGAAGTGAGAGGAATGGAGGCTTCCCAGAACCCAGGGCCTTGACTCTTCCCCCCAGATGAGCACAGGGTGGCCTGGGACTCCCAGGAGAAGTCTGTGGTGGCAGCTCTGGGGAGAGTGCCTAGCTGTCAGTGCCCAGCCAGATTACAAAAGAGCCTGGACATGCCTAGCAACAGGAGATGGACAGGACATTCACCTCCTAACTTAGCCCCTCTACAAACTGACATTGCATGCCTGGCTGTCACAGTAGGTATTTGGTGGGTTTTTTTATGAATGCTGGATAGATCCTAGTGGGCCTTGAATGACCTGCTAAGGAATTTTCATTTGATCCTATAGGCCAGAGGCTTTCAGTCCTGAGGGTGCATGAGATTCATCTGGGGACTTTAAGGTAAATGGTTAATGCCTGGGATCCTCAGTTACCATCACAAGATTCTGAGTCAAGGGGAAGGGGTGGAATTATCAGTGTGTTTAGAAGCACAGCAGTTGATCCTAATGTGCAGCCTGAGCTGAGAACCCACAGATACTTGGAAAATAGTGAAGGGCAGACTGAGTGATTGGTGAGTTTGGAGGCTCAACTGGAAGTGGATCATGAGCAGGGAGACCTGGTGGCTGGGACTGTGTGTCGTTTGCCAGAGAAATGGTGACAAGGCCTGGGTTAGGACAGGGGCCATGGAAGGGCCAGTCGGGAGCAGGAAATGGTGGCACGGTGGGGAAGAGGAGCTTGTGCCAGGCGAGCCCTGGGCACAGACCCCGGCCCTGGCAGGGCAGACAAGCAGCTCACACCCCGGACGCCTCCCGGCCTCCGCATACAGCCTGGCTTCACCCATCAGCAGCATTTCTCCCAAGTTGAGCTCATGGCACAGAGCCCTCCAAACCAGCCCACAGAAAGGTTCCAAATGTAGCAACGACCCTGCAGCATCAGGAAGGGAAATGAGGAAGTCGTTGGCAAGAGAGCAGCTCGAGAGAAGTCACATGCTGGCCACACCGTCTCCTCCGCAAGCCTGACCCTTCAGCCCGGCCCTTTCCCAGTTGACCCAGTTAGCAGAAGCAGCAGTTTGTTTCCAGGAGATGAGCACGATGTGACACGCTCAGCAGGTCACAGGTCCGGCAGCGCGGGGTCTTCCAGAAGTTCCGCTCCTTCCTGCTTCCTTTTCACAGTGAGGGTGCTTTTCAGGTCAGCCATTTCCAAGCATGTTTAGCAATGAACCCTTTTTGTAAACAAAACACTTAGTTTGTTTATTTATTGTGGCACTGGTGATGGAAGTCAGGGCCTTGTTCACACAAGGCAAGTATTCTGCCCTGGAGCTACACCTCCAACCTGCAAAAAGGTTTAAACTTTAAGAGGAAAAAAGAGGGCTGGGGATATAACTCAGTGGTAGAACACCTTCCTAGCATGAGCTAGGCCCTGGGTTCAACCCCCAGTATGCCAAGA